AACCTAAGTTTGCAGACCAAAATTAGAGAAAAAGGAGGGCCACAAGGAAAGCCAACATTTTGGCCCTAGCCTTCCAAGGTCAATTAATACTCAGGACATATGAGAACTTGTACTGTAACGTCATGTAACTCAGTAGTGTCCCAAATTTTCTGATTGAGGAGATTATGGGGCCAAAGAGGAAAGTTATTGATGATGTAGAATGTGCCTAGGGAGAGTCACATGGAGAGAGAAAACATTCTCTCAGGCTTTCACAGAGAGCACATTGGCCAAGCAATGGCCGTGACTCATCCACATGCCTGACACAGGATCTACAATCTGAGGTACAGGATCTCAGGATAAATCCTGAGGGGATATCACTGACCTTATCAGTCCCAAAGCTAGAACTCTTGTTGCATAGATCTTGCTCTATCTTAGTCTTAACGAACCAGCAGAAAAGTATAAAAACAAAGTATAAAAAGTAAAGCCATGGTGTTATGTTGAGCTGTAGGGGACTCAGGTCAACAATTTCTGACATTGCCAGTCAAGTGGAAGACCCAATACTATTATGGGTTACTGGACTTTTTTACAATATTTTGCTGAGTTAATACACCTATAATATTCAAATGACGAATCTAAACAAACAAGGCGATACAGATGAATGTCCATTTTGTATCTGTATGTTCAAAATGGTTAGGACAGATACATAGTTGCATTCTCCTAATGAATAGAGGGATTTATTCTAATATTGTTTGTAAATATGATATCATGTCCACATCTTGTGCAGCACGTAACCATTAGGAAGAATGTATGCAATGTGTTAATTATTGAAACTCTACCAATTTGGTTTCAAACTGTCTCATTGCTATTTGTTTCTCAATAAAATTATGGAAAAAATAAAGAATGAACAAGTGAAATAGATCATTTTGTTAAAGTTTTTGCACATCAGAAGAATCAACAGATTGAAAAGACAATCCATATGGTGGGAAAAATTTTAGCCAATTATCCCTGAGACAAGATTTCTATCTAGAGCATTTAAAGAATTAAAAAATCAGACCCCCAAATTCAAACACCTTGTCAAAAATGGGCATTTGAGATGAATACACACTTCTCAAATGAAATGTAAGTCACAGATAACTATATCAAAAAATGTTCAACATCACTGGTAATTTGAGACACGCAAGATTTGGTGTGTTGGCTCTGTAATCCCAGCACTTGGGAGGCTGAAAACAGGAGAATCACAAGTCCAATCTATTTAGTTAGACCCTGTAAACCCTATACACCCTGTACTAAATACATTTTTTAAAAAATTGTATACATGCAAATTAAAACAACACTGAGATTTCATCTCAACTCAGAAAGAATGGGTATCATCTGAAAATCAACAAATAAGAAATGCAAGTGGAGCTGGAAAAACAACTCTTATCCTCTTTTGGTGGAAATGCAGACTATTAAAACCATTGTAGAATTCAGTGCAGAAATTCCTTTAAAACTAGGATTAAAAGTCTCATTCAATACATCTGTTTTTCCAGAAGAGTTAAAAGCATCATACCACAGCTATATATGTCTAGCATGTTAATAACACAATTTATAATATGTAAATCTTAGAAACAACTCAAATGCTTATCAACCATGGAATGGATAAAAAGATTATTTTTATACAATGGAATACTACTCACCTACAGAGAAGGATAATGCTGAGGCTTTTGTGGGGAAACAGAGGCAAATTGAGACCATACTGATGAGTGAAATAAGTCCATCTTGCATATGTAAATGTATTGTCTTTATAGTATAAGAAGCAATAAATAAAATCCAGAATGTACGATAGATATTGAGCAATGGGAAAAAACTTGAAAAAGAAAGAAACTGGGATGGGAGAAAGGAGAATAGGGAAGAAAATGAAAAAATATATATATATATATCTTAGTTAAGTTAGCTATACCACTAATTTCTATTAGTTCATTGAAAAGGAAGATGTGTGCTATGTCTTATAATCTGAAAATCTACTTTAAAGATAATAAGAAATGTACTAACCACTATGTACTACTTACTCTCCTATATTATTTTAAAATATTGTATTGTTGCTTTTATTGTTTCTCTTTAAAATGGAAAAATTATACTACAAATTTACTATAATAAAAACAGCGGGGTACTAGCAAAGAACAGACCAAGGATCAGTGGAACAGATTAGAAGATTCAGAAATATACTCAGCCACATTATCTTTGACAAAGTGGCCAAAACACCTTCCCTGAAAGAAAAATATATCAATAACTTGCTGGAAAAACTGGTTTTCCACATACCAGAGGCTAAAACTAGGCCCATGTTTTACCATATGTTTAACTGAAGTCAAAATGATTAAAAGTTCTAAATATTAAAATGGAAACACTAAATCTGTGTTGGAAGAGAGAATAGGTAAAACTCTTGATGACATAGTGTAGACAAAAAGTTTATGAGCAAAACCCCAATCTTACGGGAAATCTCAACATTCAATAGCTGGACTCTCATCTCTTGCACGGCAAGAGAAATCATCAACAGAGTGAAGAGACAAACCCTAGATTAGGAAAAGAAATTCCAGCTGTTCTCAGCTATTACCTGTTATCTAAAACATGCAAGTTACTGCAAAAAAAAAAAAAAAAATCAGACACATACTCCCACATTTAAAGACCCAGTCCAAAAGGTCATCTGAAATGAACTGACACTTACCAGATAAAGAAGTAGAAATGGCAAGTAAATAAATGACAAAATGTTGAATGTCACTAAGTTGTTCAAAAGATGCAAATTAAAACAACACAGATTTCTGTCTTGGTAAAGCTGTTACTATCAGGAAATCAATAACAAATGATTGTGGCTGTGGGAAAGTTTGACAAAAAGTCCTAATGGTCAGGCTGAGACTGGGCATAGTGGTACCTGTAATCCCAGGAGTTGGGAGGCTGAAAATGGGAGGATCACTACCAGTCTGATCTGTGTAGTGAAAACCTGTAGACCCTGTACTAAATACATTAAAAATCATAATAAAATAAAGACCCCTTTAAACCTTTTTTATTGCTTAAAGAGAATAAAATGGTAAAAAAAGAAAAATGACAAAATTTCATTGAACAAAGTAATAGGAGTTCAACAGTGATTGTTGTATTGCATAATATCTTGAAATTAGTTGAGTTACAAACCTACAAAACTAGTTAAAATATTTTTAAGTTGTATGAAATTAAAAAAAAGAAAAACTAAAAAAGAAATTATTAACTTCTTTCAATAGACCATCAGAAATCAGCAGTACAAATATCCAAACTATTCTGCATATAGACATGAATATATCTTTCTCTTTTCTTTCTTTTGTCCTTTTCCTTATCCCAGTTTTTCCTTCCCATTGGACAGATTATTTCACTTTCACAATATCTATTGTACTTTTCAGATTTTATTTATTCTTTCAGGTTCTCACACCAGCTAGGCAAAATGATGTTTATACATGTGGATCTGATTTGTCCCCCTTAAATCTTATATTTAGGCTAGTTGGCCAGATATAATAACATTAGCTCACTTGGACCAAAACATTTGTGAGAGCAATCTCCAGTAGACATATCTCTTCTCACTGATAGTATTTCACTAATCAGGTTCACCAAATTCGATGTTACCAGTTTGTTGAGTGGCATTTCAGTTTAGTATGGCTCCACATGCTTTTCTATTCATAATTGAGGTAGAAGAGATGGAAATGAGTGCAGTAGTGGAAAGAACTTGCATAAGACGTTCACTGAAAACTGCTGTGGGGTGACAATATGGCCACTAGACATCTGTGGATTTTGAAGTTGGAATACAGAATTCTTAGAATAAAGGATCTGATAGGCCTAGAGATAGCTAAGGACAGATTAAAATTTGTGTAGCCATATATGCTGGGCTATTACTAGTTTAGTTCCTCTTCTCACTTCTGTATGTAGCTCATTTGTCATGTTGAGTGGTAATCAGACCAAAATACCTTTATCAAACTTTCTCTGAAGTTCCTTGATATTTTCAGAGTATTTGTACAAATCACTTTTGGTTACTTATCGCATGATGTTACTGAAATACACTTTTTTGAAGTTTTCTATCTGAACTAATTTGCCCTGCCACTGTCTTTTATTGTATGTCCTTATGTGTGACTAGGCCCTGATGTATGTATTACACTTCAACTACAGATAATCTGTGAGAGAAACCTATTTGGCAGACAAATAAGCTAAGGATTGTCAAAGCTAATTGAATTTGCCCAAATTTTACAGACAGGAGAACAACAAAATTTAAACCAGGTCTGATGTTCTCCCCATGTTCTTGTTAACTGTGCTGCAGCTTTAATATCTAGAATTATTTTTAATTCATAGCAGGCACTCAGAAATTGTTTACTAAATGAAAAACTGAAAATTCAAGTGCTGTTAAATAGCAACTTCAGAATCTAGAGTGATCTTCAAATATTCATACATGTACCAAAGTTTTCCTTGAATTATCATTGCCTAGAGGAACAAGAATATGTCACATGTCAAACTTTGTATGTGAACATTAACACATTATATAAAATGTTGGTATGAACTTATAGTAGCAAACTTTGATAAATTATAAAATCATATAGAATTTAATATTCTAGTATTAAATTCTGCCTCTAACCTCTCATAAGTTTCTCATCATTTAGATTGGGATGGGCAAACTACTGTCTAAGTCAAATCTGACCTACTCTTTGTTTTTATAAGTAAAAGTTTAAAGTTTTATGTACATATTGTTTCAAGCTGCTTTTATGCTATAAAGACAAAGTTGAATAGTTGCAAAAGAATTTGTATAGCCTGAAAAGTCTAAAATTTGTACTATCTGTCCCTTTTTGGAAATACTTTGGTGACCACAACACAAATTACTGTTGTTATTTCACTTGACTAACTATTTCTCCTCTATTCAAGGATCTCAAAGATAGATTTAAAATTCAGCCAGGAGATGCTCATCTATTTATAAATGGCCTTGAGATTAATATGCACGTTTATGATCCCTTTAGGTAAGTATTGAATTGTAGGTGTAAGCTAATCATGAGAGAGGACAGGATGGCAGAATAGTGGCATCCAGCAATCATCTGCTCCTCCAGGGACTAAAACCACAGCAACAGATATATAGCTGCATGTTGAGGTAGACAACCACAGGAGCACACTGGCATTAAGAAGGAGGAAGGTAGAAACCTGATACATCCAGAGCCCTAGAACAGCAGCACAGAATAAAAACACCCTACCACCTGCCACTTGGTTCCTTGGGGCAGTAGGGGAAGTCTCCCTCCTGCAGGAGCAGTGGAAAAGAGATTCTTAGCAAAAGAATGAGTAACACAGAACAGCCCCTTGGAGAATACTATCTGGTGAAGGGGCCTCACATCTATACAGCAGCCTGGCTTTTGAGAAAGAATCCACTGCACCTCCCAGGGAATTCCCAAATATTATAGCCAGGAGCCATCTTGAAAAAGGGTCTATTGTGAGAGTTTGGCCTGTTACAGGGGTCAGAAATCCCTGCACATTGCCGGCTCTGGAACCCTGCAGTCATTCTGTTGTACTATCTCAAGCCGGATGAGTTTGCTGTACTGCATAATGGCCTGGGGCATGAGATGTAACTCACAGGGCAGCAGAGGAAGCTGCATTAGAACCAGAAGATCAGGAAGCCTGATCTCAGACTAGGATGAGATTGTTCCATGGTCTAGTCAGTGTGATTTCACATGGGATCAGAACTGGGGACCTAGATCAAAATAGTAGACTATGTTGTTCCTACTACCTCATACCCTGCACAAAGTTGTATGATTTTGCTACACTCCCCACATTCACAGTACAATTTTGAGATGGTCCTAAGCAAGCCAACTTTTGCTCACCCCTAAGATGTACAGTCTAAGAAGCTTCAGAGAGACAGCCTTTATTGCACTATAGCTCATTCTGTTGAGCATGGCAGCAAAGACAAACCTCAGCCAGCTTAAATTGTGAGTCCCACTCCATACCTTGTGGGTACTACAACTGAAAAATTATAGGTAGAAAAATTCTTGTTGGTCAGTGTGCTGGACCAAAAGCACAGCCTGAGAAGTTCCAGAAAGAAACTCAGCATAGTCCACAATCTGTTCTTGCTCATTCTCTGAGCATCTCAGCTGAAAATATTTTATTTTTCTTTCTTTGCTTTTTTTTGGGGGGTGTCTTATGTGTCTATGATGCAAGGGATTGAGCTTATGTACATTGAATGGGTGCTAAACCTCTGAGGTACACCCACAGCAGAGCCAGGAGGAACTTTGCCCAGGTCCAACCCCAGCCCACTCACACTTTAATAGTGGTGGATACTACAACTGAAAAATAAGTGGAAAGAAAGCATGCAGCCATTGAATCATCGCAGGTGGTCACAGCTGGAGAGGGAAGGGATCTGCGGTTTACTCAGCTTCTAAATAGACATGCCCATAGTAGGAGCACAGAGAAATACAACTTTTGCTAACACCACAACTGTGTGAGTCTGCTGCATTGGTCACACCACATCTTGGTGTATTACATGTATTGCAGATGGGACAGTGAGTACCACAGAGGGAGCTATGATTCTGCACTCTCGTCCCTGTCAAAGTGCAATACCTGAATTTATGTCAGTGTCTAATCAGAGGAAAAATGCTTCAGGTCCTTCACCATGCTAGAGTACCTCATACCAGAAAGCCTTGACAGAGCCAGTGTCAGTGATAGCTGTGGAAACTTCCATCACCTGATCTAGGCCACCATTTCCATTGTATGACTAACCACAGAGAATGATATTCAGAGAGGATGTTTACTGTATATCCTGCTATCTAATACCACTAGTGCCCATGTCTCCACTCTTGCCTGATCTACAGACATTGCCATCTCTTTTACCATATGCTTAGTGCCCATACATTGTAGTCATAGCTACAGAATCTACAGAGAAATTGCACCTCAGTGCCCAGCTAAAATCAAATAGAACTTTGCCTAACAAACTGATAACCCAAGACACAGGGAAATCTACTTATTAGAAAAGCAGTAAAAAATACCCATCCCAACAGCTACAAAATATCAACATATCAACACAAGAACACAAGTAAAAAGCAGTGCAATATGATGATTCCTAAAAGTTCGTAACTTTAGTAACTAAAATTTCAAGTATGAAGAAGATTAAATACCAGACAAAGAATTCAAAAGAGTGACTTTTTTAAACCTTAATGAACTTCAAGAAATTACAAATAAACAGCTGAGTGAATTAAGAGCACAGGATATGAATGAGTAATTTAATAGAGGTTTTGAAAACAAATCAAATCATGGAAAGAAAAAGCTCAGTAACTGATAAACGTTTCATTTGAAGGTCTCCACAAGAGGTAAGATCGTTCCAATTTTAGTATATGTGCTGCCGAAGCGAGCACAAGAGGTAAGATCAAAAGGAAAAATGAGTAAGGTTGAAGACAGATCTTTCAAGATACTACATTCACACAGACAGATATTGAGGGAAATTCTCAAACATGTTTTATTGACATAAATTGCTCCAAATGAGAAGCAGTAAAGATTAAGGCATAAAAAGTTAATCCAGTACAATAACAGCAAGAGACTTTACAAGTCTTGGAAAAGTATGAACATCTGGGTATAGGAAAAGCTTTTAATGCTAAATAGACATGACCAGGAAAGAACCCTAACACAATATATTCTCACTTTCAAAATGAAGGACAAAGAATTTTTAAATGTTTAAGAGAAGTACAAAGCCACATTTAAAGGCAGACAGACCAACACCAGATTTCTCAGCAGAAATATTAAAGCCAGGTTATGGAATAATGCTCTTTTAATTCCTGAAAGAAAATAGTAACATTTGTAAGTCAGATTCATTCATCTGACAAATTGAGTCTTATACACCTTTGACATAAATATATGTACGGTGTAAGCCATAAAAATCAAATACAACTAAATAGTATAAACTTTTACACTCACCTTAAAATAGTGGTGCTTTACATTACAACTGTAAGCTGTTCTTTTATCGTTAGAGTACTCTACAATATTGTACTTTACAATAAGTACGTAGTACAAACATAACAATGTCATGGCAGACACATGAACTACTGCAATTTGTTTGCTTCTGCAGTTGTTTGTAATGCAAGGTCTGTTTGTATCCATGAAAATTTGCAACTCAAATGTTCATAAGTGGGGGACCTAGTATACTACCAACTATTATTCTGTCCAGTGACGTTATTCTTCTAAGTAGAAGAAATAAAAAATCTTCTAGTACAAGCATAAACCAAGAAAATTCATCACCATCATCAGCCCTACGAAAGATGCTGAAGGGAGGCCTACATCTACAAGTGAAGAAAAGATAATTAACATTATGAAAGCATGTGAAAAATCCCATTGGGAGAGTGGATATGCAAGTGAGAAATGGGAAAGAATTACGGCATCAATACAATAAGTCATAAAACCACAAAGATTAAGTAAGAGGGATAAATGAGCAAATAATATTGAAAACCAGAAGGAAATAAGCAAAATTGCAGGAATAAGTTTATACTTTTCCACAATAACAATATAAATTATCTTCTTCAATTAAAAGATACAGGCTGGCTGAATGTATTAAAAATGAGTACCAGCAGTATTCTGCTTGCAAGAAACTCAGCTATGGCTGTACACATAGACTTAAACTGAAAGGATGGGAAATGTTACCCCAAGAACATGACATCTAAAGCAAGCAGGAGTAGCTATACTTATATTTGAGAAAATAAAGACAAAAGAAGTAGGTAAAAAAAAAAAAAAGCCACTATATTGGGCCGGCCAAATAGTTAAAGGGTTTACACTGCCAATCCTGCCCCTTGGGCACACGGAGAGGGAAATTGAGACTGGGCATGGTGGTGTGTGCCTATAATCCCAGCTTTTGGGAGACTGTAAACAGGCAGATCACTATGAGTCCAATCTAGTAATGAGACCCTGTCACTATGAGTCCAATCTAGTAGTGAAAACCTGAACACCCTGTCGACCCTTCCCTAAAATACAAAAAAAATAATAATTAATATACACTTTAAAAGGGGCTGAGAGATAACTAACTCAGTGGCTTAAGTCACTGACCTGCCTGATAAGTGTAAGGTCCCGAGTTTGATTCTTGATACCACATGCCATGCTGGCCCTCAGAACTGGGCGTGGTGGTGCATACCTATAATTCCAGCACTAGGGAGGCTAAGATAGGAGGATCGCTACAAGTCCAAACTCAATAGCAAGGCCCTGTATAAAAAAATATATATTAGTTAAAATGCATTGATTATTGGGAGATTTAGTTTTTTAGAACAATTATAGGATTCTTTTTTTTTTTCCTTTTTGGCTGGCTCAGGATGCCTTAAGGGCGGGTCTGGTTTGGTATGTGGTGCTAGGAATCAAACCGCAGTCCCTTGTCCCTGATGGATTTTGCTCAAGAAGGCGCTTTAGACAACTGCGCTAACCCACCAGCTCCCCGAGATTTTTAGAACTATTACAGATCCTAAAAAAAAGATAGACTGTAATAGAAACTATTCTCACCAGACCCAAAAAAAGAAATCAAACATCAGTGTTACATACAGATCAGAAGGAGTTACAGACATTTATGGAGTATTTCATTCAGTAATCCAAAGTACAGCAAGAACAATACTGAGCAAATTTTATAGCAGAAAAAAATAATATTAAGTTGATACATTTCAAGGTTTCATAAAAACAAGAACACACTAAACCCCAAATTAGTAGAAGGAAAGAATAAAAAAGTAGGAATTAATAGAGACTAAAAGAACAACACAGGATCAATGAAACAAAGTTGGTTCTTTGAAAAGATAAAATTGACAAACATTTATCTATACTAACCAGGGGGAAGGGGAGAAGAATGGAACCAAAGAGATTCAGATTGCCCAGATTTTGTCATTGAAGTTATTTTCTGTTGATGTGTTTGAACAGTAATATGTTTAAATGTATCGTTAGGTGGTCCTAGGCTACATGCTGGGATACATAGGCCATACTGCAAAACAGGAAGGAAAAACAAATTAAAGGTATCATTGAACTATTGTACAAGTTTAGGATCTCTTAGCAAAAAAGCTTGAATCCAGAAGTGTTTCAAATATTGGGGCTGGAGGATATGTGCTTATGTAGACTGAGATATCTTAGGGATAAGATCAAAAGTCTAACCATGAAATTCATTTCTATTTCATGCACACCTTACATACCTAGCCTAAAAGTAGTTTTATACTATATTTTTTAGCATACCTAGTTTTGATTATAGCCCATAACATAAAGTCAGATGTGAAATTTTCCATTTGTGACATCATGTAAACTCAGAAAGTTTTATTTTAGGGGCCTGCCCCTTAACTCAGTTCTTTAAGTGGCTGCTTCAACAAAGCAGTAAGGTTCAGGTTGCTGTGATTCGATCCCCACAACTCCAGCCAGCCAAACCTGCCCTGAAGGCATTCGAAGCCAAAAAAAAAAAAAAAAAAAA